TCCGCTGCCGACTGACGTCTGCCGTGGAAGCTGCCGGAGATTTGTCTCCTCGTCAGTACGGCTTCAGAAAGGGTCGGTCAACAATCGACGCGATATCCGAGGTACACAGAGCGGTAGAGCGTGCCGAGAGCTTCAATCATTACTCTCGCCGTGTCGTGCTTCTTGTTACGCTAGATGTCAAGAATGCTTTTAACTCGGCGAGATGGGTCGATATGTTGAGCGCGTTGAGGAACAGCTTCCGCGTACCAGCATATCTGTTGAGGCTGATCGAGGACTACCTGCGCTGCAGAACTCTTAATTACGAAACTAAAGATGGTTCGCGGACGATGGATGTTACTTCCGGTGCCGCGCAAGGTTCGATACTCGGCCCAGATTTGTGGAACGCTGCCTACGACAGCCTTCTGAGATCTGAGATGCCAGAGGAGACCTATTAGTTGGGTACGCCGATGACGTTGCAGCCCTCATTGCTGCACGCAACGTTGAGCTAGCCCAACTGAAACTGAACCAAGTCATGCGCGTTGTAAATGCCTGGATGACTGATCATGGTCTGACACTCGCTCTGAGCAAGACAGAGATCGTCATCGTCACGAAAAAACGGATTGAAACCATCGTTCCGCTACGCGTTGGGAACGTAGTTGTCCAAACCACGCGAACCGCCAAGTACCTCGGTGTCATGGTGGACAACAAGTTGAGCTGGAGGGACCAGATCTTCCGTAAGGCGGACAAGGCTGCTAGGAGTGTCGCTGCTCTTAGTAGGCTTATGGCCAATGTCGGTGGTCCCCGGTCCAGCCGTAGAAGACTATTGATGTCTGCAGTCCAGTCTGTGCTTCTCTACGGCTCTGAGGTGTGGGCAGACGCGCTTAACAAGGAGGCGTACAGGTCGAGGCTCGCACGAGTGCAGCGTCAGGCGGTACTCAGGGTCGCTTCCGCGTACCGTACGGTGTCCGAACCGGCCGTTTTGGTGATTGCTGGAGTTATCCCTGTCAAACTCTTGGCAGCGGAGAGGAAGGCAATCTACCAGAGACAAGGCTACATCGGAAAGGATGCTGCAAGAACGGAAGAGCGCTCCCGCACTTTTCAGATGTGGCAAGAAAGCTGGGAAAGGGAGACTCGAGGACGTTGGACTGCCAGACTCATTAGACAGGTCCAACCGTGGGTGGAACGGCGGCACGGTGAGGTTGACTATTACCTCACGCAGTTCTTGTCAGGTCACGGCTATTTTCAGTCGTACCTGGACTTGATGGCCAAAACGAATTCACCTGACTGCATTTACTGCCCATGCATTCCCGACGACGCGGAACACACTTTTTTCCGCTGTCCACGATGGGATATGCTTCGCCAGGAGGCCATCCAACATCTTGGGGTGCTGTCGATTGAATCGATTTGTGAGACCTTGTTGAAGGGTGAGGACAACTGGGACTGTTGGTCGCACTTTGTCCGGAATGTCCTTCAAGCTAAAAAGAACTATCTAGATCGGATCACAGTCTAGATTTTATAAGAAATAAACGGCTAGACACGGCGTAAGCCCCTCGGGTGTAGGCAAACTCGGCCTAGTTCTGATGAAGTGCGACAAGTGTTCCCAGGCTAGTGTCCGAAGAGTAGAGGAGGTTTTTAGTGGGTAGTCTCTGGGCCTTAAACCCGTTGGAGTCCCACACTACAGGCTAGCCACCTGTGTGCATAAATGCATTTTCCCACCTCTCCCTAAAAAAAAAAAAAAAAAAAAAAAAAAATTATGGACAACCTAATGCGGCTATGAGTAAGTAAGGCTGCGGCTCCACTTGCCGTAAATTGTCGCGCTGCAAATTGTAGCGCGCTACACGTGACAGTTGGTGGCTCCACTAGCAGCAGAGTACGAACTACAATCTGCAGCGTCCTCACAGGCACCGTGGCTCCACTAGCAGTTTAGTGTAGCGCGGAGGTCAACTTGGCCCAGTATAAAGCCGCAAATTAACATTCGTAGTGTTGTTATCAGTGTACTTTATCAAGATGACGCCGATCACAGCAGGAAAATGGTGGATTCATCCAATATTAAGCAACGGAAAGTCCGAAGGGATGTTCCACACATTGCATACTAAACTACAAAAGTATTCAGACAAGTTTTTTGAATATTATCAAATGTCCCAAAACTGGTTTGATTACTTAATAGAATCAGTATCAACACGTTTTAAGAAGGATACCAAACTAAAAGAAGCAATTGGAGTATAGGAAAGGCTTTCAGTGACATTAAGGTAATTTTAGTGTAGGTACTGGAATTTAACTAATTAATTTTATACAGTGAACCCTCACTTCAACAATCCTTGTTGTGTCGAATTACTCTATTATTATTATAATTATAATTATTATAATTATCTCTATTTCTATTCTATTTTATTTTATTACCCTCAGAAGTAATATTTCTAAGTAACCAATGTAAGGTGAACATCAATGAGTTTCGTGAGTTTTTGTTGTACCTATTACTGTAATAATAATCTAAAACAGCCATTATTAGCTTTTTATTATAGGGCTAATAATTATAACAATTGTACGACTGCTGCACTTAAAAACATTGAATGTTTTCACGTATTTGTGTCTCCAATCACTACTGTTTTACTTTATAATATAAAGTAGGAAACCCCTACACAACCTCTATAAAACAAGATTTCCACACTCCCGATGTAATAATTTAATAATTTATAATGTAATAACTTCACAGTCCAGTTCAGGCTCCATTGATTACAAATCAATCCACAAAAATAAAAAACTAAGGATACTAAAAAGTCGAAACTGATTGTAGCGTGTGTGTCTTGTCCATGTATGCCTGTCGGTTGTACGTGACTTGGCGCGGCACTACAATCTACAGCTAGTGGAGCCACCTGTTGGCTGCAAAATGTAGCGTGAAAATGGTCCGAGTTCCACTCCCGCGCGACGCAACATTCTACGGCGCGCTGTAAAATGTAGCGTGCTGCAGACTGACGCTAATGGAGCCACCTTCGTTTGATCGCTGCATTCCCATTTCCTCAACTGACCATCTACAATTTGCAGCGCGGCAATCTACGGCAAGTGGAGCCGCGGCCTAAGGCTTGTAGAAAACACTAAATCGGAACCAATTTACCAATTACCAGATATTTTTTAACATCTTATGAGGAAATATATTTACAAGAAATGTTGATTATATCGATCTATTATGTACATCTTGAGTATTTCCATAATCTTTGAGTCGAATATTTTAGTCATCAGAAATTATGACTGTTATTTGTTTTAAAATAATGCCTGTAATACTTAGCAATTGCTCGAATTCGAGCAACAGGTACACTAGTAGATATAAATAGCACATCAAAACACAGCTTATCTTTTGCCATTTTAACTTAACAAAGTCATTTTTTCCATTTATTGAAATCATAATCCTGCAAGTGATGTCCTTGTCCTAATTGGCATTCCTTTTTAGTCACTTGAAAATTCCATCAAAAACTCCTCCAGCATTACTTCAAGAATCACTTTGGTTTTTGGACAATTCTTAGCTTCGGTTCAAGCAAATCTGTGTGGTGACTTTGAAAAATCTCGAACTTCAAGTGGCTTATCAGAATAACCCCCCCCCCCCCTCCCAAGAAAGAGCCAAGGTAAAGCCACAGACAATATAATACTTAAAATGTTTACTGGTATAATGGTTTACTCCAGTGTCTGTGGTAAAGCTTTCAACAACAAAAGCTTACTGGCAAATCTCTTTGGACTTTGAGTTACTGCGACTCACACTCTTTAAACATTTGCTGGTTTACAAAGAGTTTTGCAGCACCCACCGATTATTTTTATAAGGTTTAAGCTTTAATTCTAAATAATTTAACCTAGTTCATCCATTGTTTTCCTTTCTGGAACAGCGCCATGCTGACCAAGGATGGAATGTGGTCCAAAAGTTTTTGCACAAGAATCACTATTTAAAAATAGTTATTTGTGCAACTAGTGAGAAAAGTGAGCAATTGACTCACTCGAGAGAAATCCTTACTCACGAGCCGTAGGTGAGTGAGGAATGGTTTCTCGAGTGAGGCAATTGTACTTTGAACTCGAGTTGCACATTATACTTTTCCTACAGTTACCACAAAACAAATAAATTGGTGAAGAAACATAACCTATTTTTACACAGAAGTGAACTTTTAATATAACATTTAATGTGAAGTGACAAATACAACAGTACAACAGCTGACCAGCTGATTTACAGCCAGTGCTGCCAACGTATTTCGCGCGCATACGACGTTGCCTGCATGTTACGCGCTCACTATTTCGTGCCTTCACGTTGCAAATCTGGAGTGAGACAAAGTAATTAGAGTGAGACAATGTTAACATTGTCTCACTGATGAGCGAATTGGCCACTTTGCTTTCTCAAATCAGTGAGAGAACATGTACATTGTTAGGTAACTGTAGGAAAATATAGTTTTCCACATCAAAATCTCAGTGTTAATAGCCTCAGGTATAATGTTTACTAAAATGGCATGGTTTATAATTGATGTTATAAGCACAGCTGTTCATTCATTGTTGCTTTACTTATTGTTTGACAACAAAAGAAAATTGGGATGCTCTCACTGCCTCACCCTGTAACTTATATTGAATTTGATATGTAGCGGATATTTGCCATACTGTACTTTAAAAAGTACCTACTTAAAATAATGCTGAGTGTACAATATATTTGTAAGTTTATTAGTGCTTTAAATATTGTTATCTTAATGTTGTTACTTTACATAAAGGAAGAAGTGGATACACTATAACCTACTTTAAAGGTACTGGTACCTAAGAAAAGAGTTGCATGGTAGTCGAAAGCACACAAAAAGTTCACAACACAATAAACTTGATATTTCACCCCTAGTAGCTAGGGGCTTCTTCAGAAAAATGAAGAAGGAATAAGTACCTTCTTCCTTAATGTATTCCTAAGCCAAGTGCCTTTTTCTCCAAGACTGACCATTAACTACTTTAGTACTGTAATTGTTACTAAAAAATATACATAGCCAATCTCATCACAAGATGTTTATCCTTACCTTATCATCTTTCTTCAGTTGTACTTTAAGGTTTGGATTTGTAGGCCTGCAAGGTATGTTTAAAACCTCCGACATATAAACTTGAATAAATTTTTTTTCTTTTGGTAGTGCTAAATATTGCTCAGGATCTGGAAACGTAAGATGATGAAATACACCTGATGCAAAAGTTCTGCAATCCAAGCGATGTTCATATGCTTGTTTGATTGATCAAAAAGGTTAGAATTACAACAAAATTAGTCATGCTTTAAACCACGTGCAGTTCACACCAGAGCTGCGCACAAAAAAATCCAGTTTGAAACAAGAATCGCGCTCTTGGTGTTTGTACAAAGACTCACAAAAATCTGATGCTATGGCAGTTTTTGTGTTTACCGATACACAAACAAATTTATACTTTTAAAAATCTGTGGTCCTCACTACTTTATAATGGTATTGGCTTAAAGGAAAATGTAGATGACATTCCTCACACGTGTTTCAACCTATTCAAAGCACTTATGTGGTAATGTTGGCTGAACAATGGTTTCAAGGAATCATTTAAAGATTAACAACTCAAAAACACAAGAACTTCTTATACAATGTATGTGGCACTACACTGACTGAGTTTGTGGTAGGAAATCTTAAAGAAGGCGAGAGCGCAGACCAGTGGCGGGCATGCGGTGCGGGGGGACCCACAAGCTAAAGGGCCTTTACCAGGATTTTTAGGAAAATTTTATTTCGTCCTGGCCCGCGAGGGCCTGTCCTATGTCCCCCTATCATAACAATATTTATATGAGTACTAAACGAACTTCAACCAGGACGTGATTGAGCCATGCAAACGGAACGAGCTCATCTTGAAAATAAACTAGCATTGACATAAAACCACATTAGGACAGGACGACGTCTGTTGGGCCAGCTAGTAAACCTATATAGGAGGCAAGAAACAGGTAACCTTTTTACAACAATTAAAAATGAGTAACATTTAGCATTATTGTTTTGCTTTGGAAAATGTTGATTTATAATAGAAAATGCCAATTTTCAAGGCGAGACGAGTTCTGGCCTACAAGCTTGAGAGATCTAGCACAAACTACAAAATCAAGCTTTTACGACCGTGAGGACTTCGCGACCACCGAACGTGTATGTGAGGATTACGCCCTTGCAATTTAAATATTGACGCTTTTGCCGATGTCGACGAGAACATTACCCGGAGGTGATGATGACCATGTCCATACGTCCATACGACCCACAGGAGACATTTAGGATTTTGCTGCGATAGTGAAAGACGATATTAATGTTTCCGTGACCGTGCAGGATATTCAAGACTTTAGCTATCACAGATGATGATGATGACTTTTCTTTTACCACAGGAGATATTTATGATTATGATGATTGCGGAAAAAGATGATACTTCCGTCACCGCGAGAGATACAGGGTTAGGGACTAGTCCGCGATCTCAGGAGACGGTGATAATGTTTTTGTAAATGCGGGAAGTATTCATGATTTTGCCACTGTCACTGAGGAAGATGATAATATTTCCATGACCTATGAAGATATTCAGGAATTTGCCGCGATCATGGAAGTAGATAATTACGCCTCGATGCCACGGGACATATCGTGCCAAGCCCAAGTGCAAGTTTAGGTGGAAATACCTGTGATAATGTTTTTAAAGATTATTTGGGGGAGAGGGGCCTGGTAAACAACTGGCGGGGGGCCCGCGGGTTCTTATCGCCTCCAATGGTGTGACGTTAGTATGCCGCACCACAAACTCAGCAAGCATACTGCCCACTGTTGATAATGCAATATTTTGTTTATGTTACTGACAATGCCAACTGCTCTTAAGTGGCTTGACAACAATAAAGACTTTAATAACGATTTTTTCTTTATTATAATACATACCGGTACTATTGACATAAAGATAGATGCTCTGGGTCTTTGCTGACTCTCTTCCCTCATGTACAGGGTAGCATGTGTAGTAGCCAGTGTCCAGGTAGTAAGCTCCTCGTATAGTCAGAGTGGATACATACTCACCATCTAACATCTTCTCTAACATCACATCTTTCACCCCCATATCCTGTTAAACAAACAATAAGGCACTGAAATGTTAAAAATGATGTAATTGCCAAATTAAATTAATTCATAGAACCGTTGAATATTCAATAATGGTTTAAAATAGTTATGATAAGTTAGAGGATTTTATTATAACTTTACTAACTGATCTAAATCAACCCAAATGGCTATACATTACATATAACATGTCTTAAATGAAGTCAAGATTTTAGATTAAAGCTGTTGTTTATCAAGAATCTGCAGATTAGCTGAGGTAGATTGTATTTTTATTCAAGTAGTGTGATATAACATACTAAAATTATGATTAAAGATATTCATAAAAATTATTAGGTAAAAGAGTATTATTCATTAATTGTTTCCTATATGCCATTTAAAAACAAATTTATAGAATAAATAACACGTTCAAGGTTAATTTAACCAACAATGTAAATGATAATAATACTCGATTTTTAATGAACCCTCCAACATATAAAATGCTTAAGAAAGCATTAAATTTCATAATTATCTGAGGTTTGTTTATTGTTTGAAATATTAAGGATCATGATCAAGCTCCCGTCAAAGCCAAGTTCAATTCTGAGACCAATGTCACTCTTGTTCCTTAAATTATATCCACTATTTTTAAGCCAGTTCCCACCTATAAGGCCTAAATTTGCCTCGTCACAGTGTTGAGAAAAGTAGTGAAAGAAACTAACTCAAAAAATATAAATCAGAGATGAGATGTCTCTGGTCTCAATTGTCAACCACTATTGAAGTCTATGCGAATTAACGAATGTGAATGGGGAAAAAAGTCAGGAAATAGAAAATGTGCACAAGGCATGGAGGATGTTCGGAGGTGGTCTTATTTAGGCCCCGGGTACGATACGAGCGGCGAGCGGTGGGTGGCGAGCGGCATTGAGGTTGGCCACGATACGTCTGAGCGGCGAGCGGCGAGCGGTGGGTGGCGAGCGGCGTTGAGGTTGGCCACGATACGTCTGAGCGGCGAGCGGCAGCAAGCGGCACCGCTCAGCGGCGCTCATGGTTCCAAGTCAAAACCGATTTTCGCAAAAACGCCGCTCGCTGCTCAGGTGAGTCATGCTTCAGTTCGGCCTAAAATGACAGAAAACAGGAGCAAACATGCGATACGGGTCGATACTGAGGTGCAGTCCAGGGAATGTTTGTGGAATGACCAGCATGGGAGTTTTAAAACACTTCAGTCGCCAGAAAAGTATGGAAAAAATTAGGGTTAAGGTTTTCCCTCTTACGTGCCGCTCAGGTTGCCGCTCGCCGCTGACAGATGACCCTTTCTGCATACACATTTGTCAACTAACTGGCAACATTACTCAACAGGTATTGACCCCTTTCTGCATACACATTTGTCAACTGACAACATTACTCAACAGGGATTGATCCCTTTCTGCATACACATCTGTCAATTAACTGGCAACATTACTCAACAGGTATTGACCCCTTTCTGCATACACATCTGTCAACAGGCAACATTACCTACTCAACAGGGATTGACCCCTTTCTGCATACATATCAGCTGTCAACTAGCAACATTAACTCAACAGAGATTGACCGCTTTCTGTATACACATCTGTCAACTGGCAACATTACTCAACAGGGATTGATCCTTTTCTGCATACACATCTGTCAACTGGCAACATTACTCAACAGGGATTGATACCTTTCTGCATACACATCTGTCAACTGGCAACATTACTCAACAGGGGTTGATCCCTTTCTGCATACACATCTCCCAACTAGCAACATTACTCAACAGGGATTGGCTCCTTTCTGCACACACATCTCTCAACTAAGAACATTACTCAACAGGGATTGACCCCTTTCTGCTGCATACACATCTCTCAACTGGCAACATTACTCAACAGGGATTGGCCCTTTCTGCATACGCATCTCTCAACTGGCAACATTACTCAACAGGGATTGGCCCTTTCTGCATACGCATCTCTCAACTGGCAACATTACTCAACAGGGATTGACCCCTTTCTGCTGCATACACATCTCTCAACTGGCAACATTACTCAACAGGGATTGGCCCTTTCTGCATACACATCTCTCAACTGGCAACATTACTCAACAGGGATTGACCCCTTTCTGCTGCATACACATCTCTCAACTGGCAACATTACTCAACAGGGATTGGCCCTTTCTGCATACGCATCTCTCAACTGGCAACATTACTCAACAGGGATTGACCCCTTTCTGCTGCATACACATCTCTCAACTGGCAACATTACTCAACAGGGATTGGCCCTTTCTGCATACGCATCTCTCAACTGGCAACATTACTCAACAGGGATTGACCCCTTTCTGCTGCATACACATCTCTCAACTGGCAACATTACTCAACAGGGATTGGCCCTTTCTGCATACACATCTCTCAACTGGCAACATTACTCAACAGGGATTGACCCCTTTCTGCTGCATACACATCTCTCAACTGGCAACATTACTCAACAGGGATTGGCCCTTTCTGCATACGCATCTCTCAACTGGCAACATTACTCAACAGGGATTGACCCCTTTCTGCTGCATACACATCTCTCAACTGGCAACATTACTCAACAGGGATTGGCCCTTTCTGCATACGCATCTCTCAACTGGCAACATTACTCAACAGGGATTGACCCCTTTCCTTCAAGAACCTTATCACAGAATGTGGTTTATAATTGTGCGGGAAGTTAATTTTCTTTCAACATTTTTTTACATTATGACGAGACTAATTGTACAATAAGGACTATGACGTTGGTCTCAGATTTCTACTAGCTTTCCTGCAATAGTGCAATGGGAGTGCCTCAGTGTATTGATAGCTTTCATATTGTTTTTACTTGTATGACCTTGTAATATTTACCTCGTATTCCTCATACTCCTTCCACAGAGTATCATCATAATACCAAGTTATATTAACATATTCACGACATTTAATGTCAAATATGGACCCAGTATCCACCACCAGGTCTCTATCAGTCGAGGCATGTTCAGGAAAGTCGATAACCACGTATCCTATAACATCACACATCACTATAACTCAAACAGCCACTGTAACTCTCTACGTTTCTGTTAATTGCCCATCGCCTTTTATATTAGCCCTGACACATACTAAAAGTTCTATTATACCTTCACCTACAACATTACGCATACAATATTGCTTGATCTGTATGAATTTGTAGATTGACCTGTCATCTACCATCACCTCCAATTTAGACACTTTCTGAAGGGTCAATGAATACCACCACCCTTACCTTATACAATATGGTTGGTATATCTATATCTAAAGCTACAGAAGAGTCTTAGCGTTACGTTGTCTGAAGAAGCTGAGCAAGTATTTCCTGATCATTCCCTATTGAAGGAGAGTCTCAATAATCAATATTTACTACTTTTTTAAACATAATTCTTCTATACATTCTTTGAGCAACCTCATTCGATAGAATCATTTTTAATTAAGGATACTACCGTATTAATTTGTGTTTAAATATAGTAAACGGTATCAGCAAATCGACAGATAATTTCTCCCACTAGCTTGTCAACAACTCTTAATAAAATAGCTTTTGAACTATAATTTTTACAACATTGCGGGTTATACTATTTTTTTTTAGAGTTAAAAAAAGGACTAGACTATTAATCAAAATCGTTCAAGTTGTTTTATGATAATCCTATTTACCCGTTATTTTATGGAGTTTTATGAATAAATTACTACCTATCAAAAATAAAAATTTTAAAACATTAAATAAATCCTGGAGAAACTATATATTAGTACACCCAGTAACAAAATGTTATCATAATCGGACCACTGGTGTAGTCTGTAGCTCTGTACACATCCACACACACACCCTCTCTCACACACACACACACTCACACATATCACTTCGAAAACCACTTTTAGTTTAAAACTGCTGAAACATTGGATTCACCGCTGTTGCATTAAGATTTGTGAGGAACGGTTGCAATCACTGCGACATCGTAACCACTACTACAATCATGGCAACATCGTTTGTGTTTACCTCAACTGCGCTGTTCTTATGACGCGACAGCGAGATAAGCGAATCAACCGAAAGCTGGTACTGTAAATGTCCCCGCCAGGCAATTAATTGACAGCAAGTATTAAAATCTGACACTAGATTTTTTACCAGGAACCATTGGTACTGAATGTGGAAAGATACTCATCACTAATTAAACCCGAATAGTATCATTTTGCCAGCTTTGTATACATTGAGTTGCAGCGTTAGTTGCCCGAGCAGATTGTCGGGCAATGCATCCGTGGTAGCTGATATGACTGTTTCTCGCTGATATTGGAATAATCAATTGTATGATAACAGTGACTGGTTGAAATCAACACTCATACAGGCTTATTTCCGTTGGGGAAAGAAATCACATTGCGCAAACAAAATAGTTTTAAAAAGTTTAAAATAGTACTGTGCATTACATGACAACGCTGTTATTACATTCCTAAACCTTATACAGCATCGGTTAAACCAAGAATACAAAAGGGACCTTCCCCCTTCCCGAAATTGACTTTCCCCCTTATATCTACCCTATAGCCACCACAGGTGCATCGGTCCAAATCACGCGTTTCCTACTTCTACATTAGCCGGAGATCTGAAATTTGGCACTATTGTAGGTCTTGCACCCTTTTGGAAAAGTTAAAAGTTTTCCAATAATAACCTCCCCCCCCCCCCGAAATATCCACCTCCCAATGTTATTACAGGTTATTCAGTCTAAATCACGTTTACCTATTTCTAGATTAACTGGAGATCTGAAATTTGGCACGATTATTGGTCTTGTGCCCATTTCTAAAAGTAAAATTTTACAATTGTGACCCCCCCACCCCGAAATATTGACTTCCCCAATTTTATTCCTACAGGAGCATCGGTCTAAATCGCGTTTACCCACTTTAAGATTAGTTGAAGAAAAGAAAATTTTGTAGGATTGTTGGTCTTGGTCCCAAACGACCTAGGACATTTCCAAAAGCTACATTTTCCAAAAATAAACCCCCCCTCACCCCCGATTTAACAATTTCTCCCTCCATTAAGTTATTTTATGGGAAATAACATTTAAAGTTTCTGACTTTGGATTGGACATCAGAACCATTTAAAAACAAACTAAAGACTTGACGTTTGTCTTAGTCCCAAACAGCCGAGGAAAATCAAAAACGTTCGAAAATACTAATTATTGTGAAAACATATTTCCCTTAAAAGGCTACAACTAAAAATACCCCCGCTGCAGCAAACCTGCCGACTTAGCGAATTTCCATTTGACTGGATTGATTTTCAATTAATCTATTAAATTAACATTTATTTTTAAGGAGTACCTGAAGTTAAACGGGGCAAAGCCCGCGCGGGTACAGCTAGTTTAAGTATAAATGCATAAATCAAATCAGTTGGATTTAATTTAATTAAATATGAAAACAATAATTAACTGACTAGCATTTTCCAACTTCGGTATCACTCATATTGAAATGTATTATTCCAGACAAAAATAACTGTAACTAGGTAAACCTGTTACAGTAATATCTTTGATTATTGATCTTAAGTCAATGATAACACAGACATTTAGTCCGTTTTCTGGCCATTTATAAATATGTTACCAGAACGTGTTAATTAATTGATTAAATTAATTACCTTCGACATAAAGAAGTTTACAGGTCAATATCCACAACAGAAGAAGTGGTCTACGAACCAAATTATTGTTCATTGTTCTCGTGACATCAAACCATCAAACAAGTACGATGTCTCCTCTCAACTATGAATACGTCACAATAGATAAATACCCCCGCCGCAGCAAACCTGCCGACTAAGCGAATTTCCATTTGTCTGAATTGATTTTCAGTTAAATATATTTTAATAACATTAGGTTTAACGAGTACCTAGGTTTGCTGCTACAAGGAAACTAATAAAGTGTGTTTTTGAGTAAAATATTGATAGCTTAGTACAAAATAAATAAATTTGCCAAGTTTGATCAAAATATATCCACAAACAAGCAAACTACAATTTGACAATATTTTCCATAAGAATAACATGGGAATTTTAAATTTACAATTTTTTTAATTTTTTCCGTTACTAATAATCGAACAAAAATACTCTTACATACTAAATTATTTGTTTTTTTAAGCTCTTTAATAAGGTCTAAAGAGAAATCGGGAAATTTTGTGTTTTGAGTGTCAAAAGTGAGAAAAACCAATTTTTACCCCATAAAACCCCCCGTAAAGCCCCGTTCCCATGGTCCGATCGTGCTGGTTCGCGAACTCATTCAAGTTTATCCCGCTTTACACCTTTAAACCAAATTTCATCAAAATCGGACAAAAATTACTCAAGTTATCGCGTTCACGGACGTATATATATACATATATAAAAATTTGAACGAATGGTGTTTTTGGCCTCTGGGGACATCAAAATGAAAAAGTAAATCGGTCCCGGGTCTAGGTCTTACCGTGCCACCTACGGTAATAGCTACTTCCCTATAGGGAAATTCGCTAAAACCCATACATGTCTTTATAAATGGTAAATTTTAGTCATTAATTATTTAAATCATCATCATAAAAATATAAAAGGTGACAAGATAAAAAATATACATGTTCCACATGCAATAAAACTTTTACTCTTGGCTCAGATTCCTTGTTAAACTTATTACAGTTTGGACTCTTATCTGTAACAGGGAAATATACAACTATGATCATAGTAACAGCCACTTATGGAAAACATGATAACGAACACCAATACAATCAATCGTTATCCTTGACACGGCAAAGAAAATATTCCCACACTATAGTAGTAGACACAATAAATATATAGATACCCCCGCCGCAGCAAACCTGCCGACTAAGCGAATTTCTATTTGTCTGAATTGATTTTCAGTTAAATTATATTTTAATAACATTAGGTTTAACGAGTACCTAGGTTTGCTGCTACAAGGAAACAAATAAAGTGTGTTTTTGAGTAAAATATTGATAGCTTAGTACAAAATAAATAAATTTGACAAGTTTGATCAAAATATATTCATAAACAAGCAAACTACAACATTTGACAATATTCTCCATAAGAATAACATAGGGAATTTTAAATTTACAATTTTTTAAATTTTCTCCGTTACTAATAATTGAACAAAAATACTTTTATATACTAAATTATTTGTTTTTTTAAGCTCTTTAAAAAGGTCTAAACAGAAATTGGGAAATTTTGTGTTTTGAGGGGCAAAAGTGAGAAAAACCAATTTTTACCCCATAAAACCCCCCGTAAAGCCCCGTTCCCATGGTCCGATCGTGCTGGTTCGCGAACTCATTCAAGTTTATCCCGCTTTACACCTTTAAACCAAATTTCATCAAAATCGGACAAATATTACTCAAGTTATCGCGTTCACGGACGTATATATATATATATATATATATAAGTCTATATATATATATATATATATATAAATACATATATAAAAATTTGAACAAATAGTGTTTTTGGCCTCTGGGGACATCAAAATGAAAAAGTAAATCGGTCCCGGGTCTAGGTCTTACCGTGCCACCTACGGTAATAGCTACTTCCCTATAGGGAAATTCGCTAAAACTAAATGATACTGGTTTAGTAAAAAGAAAATACTACAAAATACACTATTTATATTTGTACGTGTTGGCTACACTGTACTGTATGTGCTACGCGGTTCGGGGGCTAGGGCTATCGGAGAGCACAAGTTCACATGTACAGAAACCTTATACTGAACTGACGTCATAAATATCGAATGTATATATCGATTGTACCGGGTGGTTACGGGTTTTTCTTCGGAATGTAACTATCGGTTGCACCGAATAAGTAAAGGGGTTTTTTTTGTAACACTTTATTTGACGAATTGAATACTCTCGGTAGTTTATCCATTATAAATCAAATAATAGAAATACAATAATATTCGTTACAGGCTGGGAATAAAATAATTACTGATACTTTGGATTGAACATCCAAGATGTTTGCAATTGTTTTCGTATTTACCTGACTTATAAAATAAAAACTTGAGTTCACAGGACGTTGAATACTAAGAATTTATTTCATAGCATCCACAATAATACAATAACTGTAATTAAAGTCGACGAATTACAGGAATTATTATCGATTCTAGAAGAGAGTGAAATAATAATTGTAACTTTGACATGTTAACGTTATGTTAATGTTTGGGAATGATTTACTAACAGATATTGCCCATCAGTGTAAGGTGACAATTTAAGAAGCCCAAGAGGACTGTTAGATATATTATTTTATGGAATTTACAGTCACGTAAAATAGGCCCTACAGTTTAACCATTGACTAAGTACTGTGAGTACATTAATCAATGGTTTAGGTTTACAGATTCTTAGTATTCAACGTCCTGTGAACTTAAGTTTTTATTTTATAAGTCAGGTAAATACGAAAACAATTGCAAACATCTTGGATGTTCAATCCAAAGTATCAGTAATTATTTTATTCCCAGCCTGTAACGAATATTATTGTATTTCTACTATTTGATTTATAATGGATAAACTACCGAGAGTATTCAATTCGTCAAATAAAGTGTTACAAAAAACCCCTTTACTTATTCGGTGCAACCGATACTTACATTCCGAAGAAAAACCCGTAACCACCCGGTACAATCGATATATACATTCGATATTTATGACGTCAGTATAAGGTTTCTGTACATGTGAACTTGTGCTCTCCAGGGCTATCACTAACGGATGGAGGGGGGGGTGACTCAAGGAACCAAGTTGTAATCTCAACGTCTTCCGTGGTACCATAGATCAAACTTATTTTTATTTATAGATTCACTATTTATAGATCCTAATGGAAAAGTCAAAGACAATCTTAAGGTCAATTCTGGTCGGTTTATTTAGATGCAGGTTTGTTGTTTACTATTTGTTTCTTGGTGTTTAGCTTATAATAACGATTGTAACGTAATAAAATGATCTAGTTATGAACAAAAGCAACTCTGAGTTGCTGGAATAGCAAAGGCCAATGCTTAAAAACGTTGGCTTTCCATTGCCAAGACATCATGTTGGTTGAACAAAATAACAAGGAAAAAGTAAACAAAAGACTTGTAACGCGTGTAATGTTTATAAAGAGCCATCCACAGTAAACTAGCAAATTACAAAATATATTACAAAGGGAAAACATATGTTTAACCATAGACTAGTTTAACTATTGAGCAAAGATTACACTGAAGATTGGTCGTTATAGGTGACAATAGTTCCGATCAAATACTGATGATTTTACTTGACTCTCTCCTACCAATACTTAATCCCCGAAGTACTGAGGAAATTTTATACATTCTTTGGTTTTAACAGTGAAATAAATATTTACCTATACGGTATTATATTTATTTTATGTAAATTAGAAATAACACAAAGATTTTCAATCGGCTGTTTTAATAATAAAAAAATATTAAAAAAACACTGTCAAAACATTGTTTATGCAAGTACCTAGCCTATAGACTTTCAAACCAGTGATTTTTACCACCGACTGTAAAATAAATTATTGTGTTGTAAATTTCCAGGTTAAAATTCCCATCATAATAAATTGAAATTCCACTGAAACTTAAAATATTAGAAGCCAAAATTAGTTTTAAATAAAACGTGAGTTTTCTTTATTTCGCTTTTACAATGGAAACAAACTACAACGGAGCCATGTTTCAGTCCCCAGGCATTTAACTAACCGTTCAAATTGGTTAAAATAAGAATAAACTTGGGGACTTATTTACCATCTTTTTACAAGGAACAAAACGTCTCAAGTCAGGCAAGTGCCAAATTGATGATTTGATGTTTTTTTTTAGGATGGAACATTTTGCTTGTGAAATTTAAACTGCGCTACCGACTTTAACAGTTAGTTCCGACATTCGCCGCTCAGCAGCACATTATGGCTGTAGCACAGACAAGGAAACAACTTTTATTTCCTTAGTCAATGGCTGTAGGTTTTGATTGTGATCGGTTTTTGGTTGGAATGTCTGAAAATGTTTGGAAATTTGGTTTCATTAAATTTTATCAAAGTCGGATCATTTTTTGCTTTTGGATATATATCAAACTTAATGCTTTACTAAAAAAACACACTTTATTACCCCTGTAGCAGCAAACCTAGGTACTCGTTAAACCTAATGTTATTGAGATGGATTTAATTGAAAATCGAATCAGCCAAATGGAAATTCGCTTAGTCTGCAGGTTTACTGCGGTGGGGGTAATTTCTATTTTTTTTTATCTTAGTACATCAAGACTAAATGGATATGTAGGCTATGAATTTGAACGGATGGTGTTTTTGGCCTCTGATGGGGACATCAAAACGAAAAAGTAAATCGGTCCCGGGTCGAGGTCTTAAAATAAAATAAAATGAATAAATAAGGTCTTTATTCATGAGCGAATTTCAGTTACAAAACTGTTTTACAAATTGACTCGAGTCAGGACTTAAACTACAGTGCTTTTATTTACAGTGCGTTCAAACAGCCGTGGCACCTGAAGGATTAGGTGACCCCATGGAAACCACTTGGACCCCTTTTGACCCCTTGGGGTCTCCTAATCCTTCAGGTGCCACGGCTGTTTGAACGCACTGTAAATAAAACGTCTTATAACTACGAAACAAAATAAGATTAGTTACAAACTCTTTAGGCGATTCTTAAAATTGTTGCAAGACAGTGCTTTTAGCGTGCAAGGAAGTGCATTGTACTGAGCCGGCCCAAAGTAAGTAAACGCTCTTCTACCAGCATCAAGAACAACTCTTGGTATGTCAAGCAACAAGTCCTGTCTAGTTCTGCGCTCTCTCACGGCCGACCTCGCTTTCAGTTTTTCCTTCAAGTACTGTGGTGCCTAAGTGACCAGTGTTTTGTGGACGATACATAGTAGTACGTTTTCTGTGACGATACATGCAACCTGCTTATCACAGCTCTCCCGGACGGACATTGTATTTGAGATCCTACGGTGACTTGTTATATGATCATATTTTTTAAGGTTGTATACGAACCTTAGGGAACAATTCTGTAGCCTGTGAAGTATTGTGATCTGTTCCTGTGTTAAGCTGTATCCAAAAACAGGTAGGCAGTAATTTGAAGTAGGGAAAATCAGGGATTTGACCAACCTCAACTTGATGTTTGCTGGGAAGCACTTTTAATTTTCCAACAACACGTTTGCTTATCTGGCTAGAAAAAGTCAGCTGTGAGTCAATTGTCACACCAAGAATCTTGGAAGTTGAAAGCTCTGAGTTATTAACTGTGACTTTGATGCTATGTTTTTCCAGCTGCTCATAGACTGCTGCATTTGCTAAGTGTATAGCGGGACATTTTACGGGGTTTAGCTTTAATCCATGATCCTTAGACCATTCACAAACCTTTGAAAGGTCACTGCTCATATGTTGTAATGCCTCTCCAACCAAAGTAGGCTGGTATGATAAGAAGATTTGGCAGTCATCAGCATAAGAATACATAATCCCGAAATCCAATACTGATTCAATACCTACTATATACAGATTGAACAAGATAGGACCAAGACAACTTCCCTGGGGAACACCGACTGTCTTTGCCACTGACGATGAGAGCTGATTTCCCACCTTTGTAATCTGTGATCTCCCACTCAAATATGTGGCCATCCACTCTAGATGAGTCGTACAATCAAATCTTAAATATTTTAACTTTGAAATCAACAAGCTATGGTTTACAGAATCAAGCGTCTGTGTATAATCTAACGACGACAATACGCTGCACATCTTATTATTTTTGGCTTTGTAAATTTCATCAATAATATTAAGCAAAGCTGTGCATGTACTGTGTCCCCTTCTAAAACCAGGTTGGTTAACATCTAAAATCTGCTCTGCATCAATGAAATGCGTTATCTGGTCCACAACAACCTTCTCTAGGAGTTTTGACAACGAAGGAAACAATGATACTGCTCTAAAGTGTGAAACCATGGATGCATTATTGTTTGTCTTAGGAAGGAGGATTACTATAGGCTATGTTTCCAGCATTCTGGGAAACTTCCATAAGACCTAGGTAATAGCTTATTCCCTATATGGGAAATTCGCTAATATCATGGCAGTTACTTTAATGAAATGGAAAAAGGTCTTCTACAGGCTTGCAATTAATTATTTCGTTTTCTGATGAGCCATGGGGATTGTTTTGTTTGTTTGCGTCTAGAGATAGTGAAGTGAAGTACCCATCACTTTACTACTATAACTTCTTAAAGAATAAAGCACAACACTTTATTCAAAAATGTATTAAAGCGTTCGCTAATTTAAAAAAAATCAGCTAGAAGGGCTGAAAAAGTACTTTGGGCGAAGACATGGAAACTCTAAACGGTCATATACGAGTATAACTCAATTTTTACATTAAATGTATATACAGTATAAAACGCTAAACAAATTTTAAAAAGAAAATTCTATTCTTGTATGTTTACAAACAAAGTTTGGTTAGCAAACTGTTGTCGGCCATATTGTACTCAATTGTTACCTTTACTATTCGATGGAGCAGAGTTGTAAAACATGGAATAGAGACAAAGCTCAGATCGAAATTGGATTGAAGCTGAATTAGAAAGAGTGGAGAATCTTGAGCGGAAGAAGTAGGCGATAATCATATCCGAGTTGATAAAAATACACAACATTCAAGATGCTCATTTCATCTACCCTTAAGTGCACACTTTGTTTATTGAATCGGAACAAAAACACACGCCGAAAATCGCTGTAAAAAACATAAAAATGGGCCTGAAATGTTAGAGACTCTCCTCCCTCTGGCTTATGATATTTTTTAATCAATACAGCATAACTATTATGTGATAAATAACACACACTAAGCAACAAAGAAAACATTCAGTGCACGTTAGAGACTTAATTATTACTAAAATTTATAAAAGTACATTTATGAGATAAAATTACAAGAATGAATAGAAAATAACTCATTTTATTGTGTTTAATCATGTTTCAATCTGCCATTCCAGTGTAAGTATTTTCCGAAGTAGTTCCGATGCATGTTCTTGGAAGCATCTTGATAATTGAAACGCGTTCAGAATTCAGAAGAAACTAAAGGGAGTGAAGCTGTGCGCACGTGGTGCCGAGCCGGCGGTGATAGTGAGTTGAGAGATAGAATCATGATATCACAGGTGTTGATTGTGGCAGTAAATCACGCGCGATAGCAGCGAGGTACATCGAACCTGGGGAGAGAACTAGAAAATGGCCAAGTTGCCAGGGGTATACTGTACAGTCACTTCTCGTACTTTCCAAGTTGCCAGGGGTATACTGTACTGTCGCTTCTCGTACTTTCCAAGTTGCCAGGGGTATACTGTACAGTCACTTCTCGTACTTTCCAAGTTGCCAGGAGTATACTGTACTGTCGCTTCTCGTACCTTCCAAGTGCTTCTAAGTTGCCAGGGGTATATTGTACTGTCGCTTCTCACACCTTCCAAGTTGCCAGGGGTATCTTGTATTGTCGCTTCTCGTCCCTTCCAAGTTTCCAGGGGTATCTTGTACAGTCGCTTCTCGTACCTTCCAAGTGTCCAGAGATATATTGTACTGTCGCTTCTCGTACCTTCCAAGTGTTTCTAAGTTGCCAGGGGTATATTGTACTGTCACTTCTCACACATTCCAAGTTGCCAGGGGTATCTTGTACTGTCGCTTCTCGTCCCTTCCAAGTTTCCAGGGGTATCTTGTACAGTCGCTTCTCGTACCTTCCAAGTGACCAGAGATATATTGTACTGTCGCTTCTCGTACCTTCCAAGTGCTTCTAAGTTGCCAGGGGTATATTGTACTGTCGCTACTCACACCTTCCAAGTTGCCAGGGGTATATTGTACTGTCGCTTCTCACACCTTCCAAGTTGCCAGGGGTATCTTGTACTGTCGCTTCTCGTCCCTTCCAAGTTTCCAGGGGTATCTTGTACAGTCGCTTCTCCTACCTTCCAAGTTGACAGGTGTATACTCTAATGTCGCTTCTCGTACCTTCCAAGTGACCAGAGATATATTATACTGTCGCTTCTCGTACCTTCCATGTGCTTCTAAGTTGCCAGGGGTATATTGTACTGTCGCTTCTCACACCTTCCAAGTTGCCAGGGGTATACTGTACTGTCGCTTCTCGTACTTTCCAAGTTGCCAGGGGTATACTGTACTGTCGCTTCTCGTACCTTCCAAGTGCTTCTAAGTTGCCAGGGGTATATTGTACTGTCGCTTCTCACACCTTCCAAGTTGCCAGGGGTATCTTGTATTGTCGCTTCTCTTCCCTTCCAAGTTTCCAGGGGTATCTTGTACAGTCGCTTCTCGTACCTTCCAATTGTCCATAGATATATTGTACTGTCGCTTCTCGTACCTTCCAAGTGCTTCTATGTTGCCAGGGGTATATTGTACTGTCGCTACTCACACCTTCCAAGTTGCCAGGGGTATATTGTACTGTCGCTTCTCACACCTTCCAAGTTGCCAGGGGTATCTTGTACTGTCGCTTCTCGTCACTTCCAAGTTTCCAGGGGTATCTTGTACAGTCGCTTCTCTTACCTTCCAAGTTGACATGGGTATACTGTAATGTCGCTTCTCGTACCTTCCAAGTGACCAGAGATATATTATACTGTCGCTTCTCGTACCTTCCATGTGCTTCTAAGTTGCCAGGGGTATATTGTACTGTCGCTTCTCACACCTTCCAAGTTGCCAGGGGTATCTTGTACTGTCGCTTCTCGTCCCTTTTCCAAGTTGCCAGGGGTATCTTGCACTGTCGCTTCTCGTCCCTTCCAAGTTGACAGGTGTATACTGTAATGTCGCTTCTCGTACCTTCCAAGTGACCAGAGATATATTGTACTGTCGCTTCTCGCACCTTCCAAGTTTCCAGGAGTATACTATATACTCTCGCTTATCGTACCTTTCAAGTTTCCAAGGGTATATTGTACCGTAGTAAGACTAAGCTAAAGCTAGTCTTAACCTAGTCTATAATCTTTGAAAAATTAATACACTATTTTTATCAAATGAGTCAAGTCATTTATTTAGTTCCATGTGGATTTTACTAGGAAGGAAGCTTAGGTATTTTAAAAACTAGTTGTTGGTCCATTATTTGACAGCTTAAAAGGAGAATATCAGTATATGATGAATTTATTGAGATTTTTACTGTAAAAAGCCGTCGGATCGGATACTGTTACCATAGATAAATCGTCGTTACGAAGTAGGCCTATGCCTATATTAAAAATTGGAGCGAAACCCAAAGGTCTTGCTTGAGACAAAACTTCAAAAGTTCGGAAATTTTATGTAAATTGTTGTGACTCTGAAGTTTTTTTGGTTTTGAATAATCATCGATAAAATCAACCAATAATCGTTTGTCCTTTTTTGCGTCGTCGTGCTTAGTAAATAATAAAATGTGTTGCCAATTTTTGTCTTGTTAGGCCTTTTATCAATTTGGATTCAGTACAGAAGCCTAATTATTATGGAGAAGGAGAATGCAGTTGTAGCGATGAGTGGTGGTGTTTCGGAGAGTGTCCGTGCTAGCGCTAGTGTCGCCTATCTCGGCCGCAGTCAACAGGTAGCCGCCGTGAAGTGCAGACGACGCGCGCGTCCTCAACTAACCTCAACAATACCGGCGTGTTAGTGTACCAGTGGCGTTGTATTGTGTTTGTGGCTTGTTTTGATATGATGGCATTAAAGATCACCAAATGGTTCTAAGCTTGAAGAGTTCGCCTCCTTCTCCACCCAGGACTGAGTCTCTGTGGGACACACAGATGTTCAGCATGGAAACCTTCTCGTACGACGACACGGCTAATGACCTGGGGGACTTGTTTGGAGACACGGACTTTGGCGATCAGGTAAGCAAGCAGTAGACCGTGTTTAGTTAGGTGGAGGCGTTGATTATATATACTCAATACTTAAAATATGTAGTCAATGGTACATGTTATCGCTCAACAGCTCTAGTTCAAATTCAAAACTTGCGCTAAGATTTTCAACTCAATTTAATTCCGAGTCTTTTCCTAACGCAATTGATCATTATTTATAAAATCCAGGCTGATGAAACTGAGTTAAACAATGTTCATCCTCTTAATGTTTAAAAGAAATGGTTTAAACGTTATTCCGCATTACAGTGGTATTTAAACTTTCCATGTGTTTAAATATTAATCGTGTTTGAGTAATATCCAGGCTACTGGGTTTAGAATCAAGCGCTAATTCTTTTCAACAATATTCCAACAATTGAGTACTTAACTTATATTGTTACAGTGGAAAGCAATAGTTGAATAAAAAGTTAACAATACAAAATGAATAGCATGCCTATTTCGTTATTTTTCATCCTTAGAATTTTTTCAGAGATTAACAATTCCGGATATAATTAAGATTGCGTAGGTAAGGCTATATCTTTTGGCATATTTTGAGGAATTGACTATTTAGGTACCGGGTATCGCTAATTAAGACCATACCTGGTGTTAAAGAACATCCATCCTATCCTCGTAACCAACGAGAAAGCGCCCATGCTATGTTCAGCAGAGAGGACTTTGACCCTTATCGAATTTAAGTGACTGGTTGCTGGACGAATTAGTTATTCCACACCATGGATTATTACATCCTCGTGTTGCAGTATCGTGATTAACATAGGCTAATGAAAGTTTTGAATGTATATTGTTGAACGATTTTTTTTAAATTCCATTGTACTCGTAAAGTCACTGCTTCTTATGTTAAAATTGACTACTCTTTGGCTAATAGTGCTCTTATGTAGCTGTACTCTTAGGAAACGGCTTATTAAATCCGTAACCCATGTCAACTACTGTAGCGTTTAACTATCGGATTTTCAATAATTTTATGGGTACATTCAAGCCAAAAATTGCGATAGTTTACCTGGGATTGTGTGAAACATGCAGTTAACTCCGCTCCATGATCAGTCTGATATTTGTATCCCAATTTAATGGATTGGGGTAATTTTAATCACAGATCACAAGATCTTTTTTCTTTGGTTCTGTTCAGCAAATGTTATTGGCAAATCCAATTTAACGAACATACTGTAAGTTTGAACGCATTACCTAGAAGCCTAAATATCTTGTTGCTCTTTAGAAAAATCACTTTAAAAAATTGGTTTTGTGTTCAAGTAATTTTATTTTCTGAAAAAGTAGTTTGACATTTTACCTTATGGATAGGTACAGTAATACAATAGTTTCAGTAGCCTACAGTTGTAATACTGTACTTGGCAAGGGAACGAGAGGAGGGTGGTGCGAGACACATTATATATAGCCATCGTATGGGATTGTTAAATGGTTATCGTGATATCATCGTTAATCCGACATGTCATCCCTAACCCGCTTCTCGCTGGTGCATTAACCAGATACAGTACTCCTCATATCGTACTGCAGTTCCGCGAACACTTCGGATAAGGCAAGGCATTCGACCTTCTGTTCGTAACGGGCCGCGCGGTCAAGGGCTCGTCTCGCAGACTTCAACGTTACGTTACGTTATATAAATAAAATAAACAAACAATAAAAGACATTGAAATATATAGCCTACCTTGGGTATTCGATAAAAGAATGCGGTCGCCGATTCCATCAGGAATCACAACACAAATAATTGCGTTCAACATATTACTACGATAACGGTATACAGATTCATCGGATCTAACAAAAGACATTTTATACGAGTATTTTAGTAAACTATTAGGTATATTCTGTTATGAATTAAATAATTGTCATACAGTATAAAACTTGGCACGTGTTTCTTTTGGAAAACCTTTCCTTTTTCGGCAATAAGGATGTTCCAGTCCATAAAATATTAGACCATTTCGTTCTAAGCATGAAAATGAGGATTTGTTTAAACGCCAGTTTGACTTAAATATTATAATCCTAGTTCAGTAGCCTACGGTTTACAGGAGGTGTTTGAATAATAGGTTTCTACAACATTCCTATTGTGCTTGCGGAAGTTTATAGGAGAAAAGATGAACACAGACCTGGTCTGCCTTAACATTTCACACTATTTCTTGCTCACGGTTTCTTGGGGTAAATTTCAATTAATTTTACCGCAATATGTTTCAGATAAGGCATCACGAATAGAAAATACCTTGACATTTTGTCGTTTGTATGAAGGTTTTTTAAAGTTCATCAGTTAATACTTGTACATTGCTTCAGTAAAGTTCATATTCGAGGTTTGGCGCGCAAACGCTCTGATATCAACATATCAGCGCTTGTTCACATATCTCCTATGATAAGGATGTTCTACCAAGTCGCGTTTTCCAGGCTTGTTTGTTGTTTGATAAAAGTCGTTCTGGTAGACATTGGTCGTCTGTTTTTAGACAATGTTCTAATTAGAGAATTAGTTTGTCCTCATTCATTTTGTACAGAGCGATTAATATTTTCCTAGTTCATTACCCCCTCCCTGCAGCAACAAACTTATATATGTATCGTTGAACATAATTTTTATTTAAATAAATTTAAGTTAAAATTAAATCTGGCAATTGGAAGTTGGTTTAGTCTGCAGGTTTGTCGCGGCCGGGGTATTTGTAATCTTGACACTATGGGTTATTTTTCTAGCCCTCCATCTTCTACACATCTTACACTTCATATTCCATTCATAATTGGGTTGAAATACTCACTTGGTGTCAACATTTGAAGCAATCAATAACTCCAGTTTTCACGCGAAGATTGATACAATGAACAATTATTATAGGACTTCTACTTCTGAGAACTAAATGTATGCTTCATATTATAAAAGTTCGTCCACTGTTTTATCATATTAATCACCTATGTACCAATTATGTGTATATTATGCATTTCACGAGTCACATTTGTGTGGTGTCATTGTAGCAGATTAACAAAATATCGCTGTTAGTTCGGAAGAGGGTTTAAATAATTCAAGAGAATACATCATCATTTGTCAAGAGTGTTGTAATGTAGTCAAATATGAGAACTATTATCTGTCAACTTCCGGTCGTATCAGGGGCGTCCTCCCACCAACCACCGCGTCTGTTGACCTACTGTGTGTGCGGAGCGGACTGCGGAGATGGGTAAATCCTCCCACCAACCACCTACTGTGTGTGCGGAGCGGGCTGCGGAGATGGGTACGTCCTGCCACCAACCACCGCGTCTGTTGACCTACTGTGTGTGCGGAGCGGGCTGCGGAGATGGGTACGTCCTCCCACCAACCACCGCGTCTGTTGACCTACTGTGTGTGCGGAGCGGGCTGCGGAGATGGGTACGTCCTGCCACCAACCACCGCGTCTGTTGACCTACTGTGTGTGCGGAGCAGACTGCGGAGAAACCGTGCGGCGTCCTCCCACCAACCACCTACTGTGTGCGGAGCGGACTGCGGAGATATCGTATATCCAAGGAAGATATGAAATAATGGTCGGTTGCTGATGTCCTATAATTTGAGGTATACAGTAGATAAGCTGACTCTTCTAGAATTGTCCTTCTGATGGATAAATAACGCAAATCTCCTGAAGGTAATAAAGTATACTTATTCCCATTTCCGCAACGTTGAAACTGCTACCACAAATATTGAAAGATATATCAGTTATCTACTGCCTGTCCTCTAGGATTATAAACACAAAAAAAACTTTGTTCTAAAATCTAGATTACCTACTAAAGATTGTTACTACATCAGCCTCTATCGATGTCGGACAACCTTCATATTTTACAAAAACAAGCTTCATCATATTTTTTACAATAGGCCTAATATTAGAGGTCGACTTGTAAAATTAAAAATAAACTATTTGCTATTTGAAAACTTAATGTATGACTAGTAAAAACTAGGAAATACAAAAGTTTTGGAGTCTGTAATCCCGTCCAAAATTAAATTCAAACCAAGTCAATAGTTGAAGCTCTTTGCTCGTATATAAAGATTGAGTTTATTTTGTGAACTGGTTAAGCATATTGTTAATAATTTATATGAAAATTTACTGTTCACAAAGAAGTAAAAGGTTCCGGGACGAAAAGAAAAAAAAAGAAAGATTAAATATATATTTTTAATAATACAGCTTGGGCTAAAAAAAATTGAATAAAGTTACTGGGCATACAAATCATTTTAGCATTACAGTGATCCTCCTCCCGCAAGGAGTCAGAAAAATCTTAAACGTAAACATTGATATGCACATAAAAAAAACTGCAGTTGTTAGTAGTATGCTTAAAACACGAATTATGCATGAAAACCAAATTGACATGAAAACAAAATGTTCGTTCACGAATATAATATTAACGGGTGAAATGACAAGAGATGAATATTTGACAGTGTGACCGCCGCGCCGCATGTAATGTACAGTACATTGTTGTCTGGGGGTGGGTTTCGCCCTTACTCCACTAACCTATATTTTCCTCCCAGTCGGGTTAGTTTATTTAACAACCCGTGATTGTTCGCAGTTGTGTACTGTAAGGCCGACATCAAATCTGTTGATTATTCATAGAATCGATTCAAACCGTCGGTAGAGGTTTATTTATACTTTACAGTAGTCAAACTCGTCCTTGAATTGATGTCTATTAGTAATATCATAGATTAAAGGAGTAGTGTCCACTCCTCTGATCTATTGTAGTATTCAACACACATTTCATGTATATTATGTTACATTTTCACAATGATATGTTCTATTTTGTTCTCGAGTGTATCATAATTTGTGTCTTACAGGTCGTTCACTATTTTATAGCATACTATAACATTTTATTGTACTAATTTCCATTATCATATTAGGACGGTTATCAAGCACTTAAAACGTCTATTATTTGCTTATAATAAAAGCTAAAATTATACACAGTAACACAATTTTGTTTTATGGCGGATTGATGAGTTTTTTAGTACCTAATCGTGCTACTCCTCATATCTCAAATTATTTGATTTTATCTCCAAT